TATTTTAGAATGGTATTAGTGAGAAATTTCTTAGGCGGAGGGACCAGTTTGGCACATTTATCCATAAATGTCACCAAACTGTGCCAAATATGTTTTTTACATCAATACTGCGGGTTTGGTAAAATTACGAGGTCACGTAGCAGCTGGACCCACCAGTGGGTCCGTAGGGTTCAAGAGGTTAAATTGGCAGTGACAACAAGAGCAAAGGATGGAGGAAAGAGTGTCTGCTTTGATACTCTGTGGTGGGATCCTTAAACATACTGTAGTTCACTTTCAGGACACATTAACCAGGACACACCTCTGCTGATGCCGCTGCTGCTTGTGAGCGGATCCACAGCGTGGTAAACAAGCTTCAGACCGAACACCCCCGAGCTCTCCTGCTCATCACAGGAGATTTCAACCATGCCCCCCTCCGCTCCACTCTCCCCACGCTCACACGATACGTCACATGCACAACCAGGAACAATAAAACGCTGGACCTTTTTTATGCAAATGTTAAGGATGCATACATCTCCACCCCCCTCCCCCCGCTGGGTCGTTCAGATCACAACCTAAAAACCTACCTGCCCCCCATTACATTCCACTGGTGAGAAGGACAATTGCACAGAAGAAGTCAGTGAAAGTAAATAAACCTGATTCTGATTGTGTTTCTGAAAAAAACTGCTGTAAAACATTTTGTTTCTATTGTTTCTATTTCTATATTGCAGATTAGGCTAGGTTGGTGCAAAGAAAAATCTAAATAAAATCGAAATATTGGTTGAACATAAATGCAGTTTCTATTTTTGGCAAAATTGTTCAGCCTAAGTTGAGGTTTTTCTTTAACTGTAATGACATAGAAGATTCCTAGATGATTTGCAGAGACATCATTTTCCCTTCTCTTTTTCTCCTGTATTTATGTTAATAATTAATTGCTGTATTTTTATTTGCAGTTTACAGTTAAAATGCTAACAACAAAAAAGTTAAATTAGTCAACACACCTGGAAATAGAGTAAAATTTGCGTCATTATTGTTCTTTAAAAAAAAAGTACATTGTTTAGGTTGGACATTTTTTTAAAACGACATTAATATACAGAAATCAAAAAAAAAAAAACCTTTAATCCAAAAAAATATATGTAATATATTACAAAAACATATTTATTGGTCATTGTTTTCGTCAAGAGTGAGCACTTTTTTAAGCTGGCTTAAAATAGAATGATCTGTGAATACGTAGCGATTTTAAAAGAATGCAATTGATTAAACTCAATCTAAAAAACAAAAATGAAACACAAAACTTGTGAAAATACAAAATCTGCAAATGATTTGTCTTGACAAATAAAAACATTTGAAAATATAAAAACTGTAAAATAAAATAAAATATAATATGACTAAAAAGGATTCACAAAAAAAACTATTTGAAATATTAAAAAAATAAATATAAAAATGTTAAAATATTGCAATATTGCATCAACAAGATGTTTCAAGACTGTTCAGCACAGGGGTAGGGGGTGGGGTGGGTAGAACAAAGCACGGTACAAAACGCGGGAATGATGCCAGCTGCTCTTATAAATAGTGGTGTTTCAATGCTGTTGTCAGAGATGGCTGTGATCAACGCGCAAGTCAATGAGCTGATTGGATACAGAGTTTGGGGAACCCCTTTCTGAAACGGTGATGGAATGACGTTGCATGAAGCCCCCTCCCTCCCTCTGGGATTCCCAATGGATTGCAGATGCCACACACGCACACAAAATGACAGATTTTCATTTCTATTAAAAAACAATTGGGGCTCTCCAGCAGTCAACAGTAGAATGATGGGGTACATATAGCTCACCTGTACATATAAGTCATTTTAGTGAATGAGTTTTCTTTTCTTCCTTTATATGT